GGCCCCAAGAAGCTTCAAAAGCAGTTCCACGAGGCGCCCGAGAAGCATGCCAACTGACCCCAACTACAGGTACTCAAAAATCCTCTGGCCCCAAACTCAGGCACAGTAGCGCTATGGGCCAAAGGCCATGAATAAGCATGCAATTGCCATGGATAAGCATTGCAATTGGCATGCAATTGGATAAGCATGGGGCGGCATGCAAGCCTTGCCTCTGGGACCGTCTGTGGAACTCCCTGCGGGCCACGATCCGCGTGAGATGTGTGCCGAAGTAAGCCGAGCGACGCTATGAAGCTCCCCTCTAGTGCCGCAAATGCAGTTACGTTCTGGGCACGATACGCGTGAGGGGCGTGCCACTGTGCGAGCCTTGTCTCTGGGGACTGGGGCGCGATCCCTTTGAGGGGTGCGCCAGCATGGGCAGAGGGATGCTAAGCCAAGCTTGTATCTGGGGCCGTCGGTGGAGCTGAATGAGGGGCGCGATACGTGTGACATCTTTTTTAAGCACCACCAGAATTTGCTAGAACCTAAGCTCGCGCGAAGCGCGCGCGTGGTTCTTGTATAATGTGCCGGTGTACTGGGAGCCTTGGCCCCGGGCCAGGAAACACCCTCCCGGATTCCCCCGCATCTGTTTGGCCCACGACGTGTTCGACCCCTTCGGGGGCCTCCGGGGCATCACCACCGCCGCTCAAAACAGCTCTGGGCGCCACCAAAATGGACCAGAGCGGCCTGCCAAGGCCGAAAACGCCCGAATATTCTTACAAGACGGCTCAGTATGTCCTAAAGACGTCCTAAGAAGGCTCCAAGATGCGGCCCAGGTCACAGGAGGCCGAAATTGTCCCATCCCCCACGAGAAACGTACATTAGCATATTCCCGCTGTGGGTTCGAACAGCGTCCAAAACCGCACAGGAGGTCCCAAGGATCGCCCGAAGACGGCCCAAGAGGGCCCCTAGAGGGAATAAAGAGTGGGAGTTCCACCTGACATTCCGAGCCCGCCGCTCCCAGTGAGCCCCCATGGCCGCCAGCAGGCCCCCAAGAGGCCACCAAGGGCCCTGAAAGAGATCCCAAGAGGCCCCCAAACGGCCCCCAAGAGGCGAAGCTTCAAAAGTAGTTCCACGAGGCGCCCGAGAAGCATGCCAACTGACCCCAACTACAGGTACTCAAGAATCCTGTGGCCCAAAACTCAGGCACAGTAGCGCTATGGGCCGAAGGCCATGGATAAGCACGCAATTGGCTTGATCACAGACCCTTCCCTATGCAGTCATGTGTAGCGCAGCGCGCGGGTCTCTCTTCATGCACTGCGCGCCTCGGGGCAGTGGGGAAAGCGAGCTGCTGCGGAGCACGCGTGCACGGGTGTGCTGGACTCGCTGGCCATCGGCTCCATAGGTGCTGCTCCTTTTGGGACATGATTCGCGTGACGGGTGTGCCGACATGGATTATGGAGCGCTGTGCGAGCTTTCTTTGTTGGCCTTGCGTTCCTAGTGTGCACAATCCGCGTGGTGGGGTGTGCCGCAATGGGTGGGGGGGCGCACTGCGAACCTTGCCTCCGGGGCCATATGTGGAGATCCCTCTGGGACATGATCCGTGCGAGAGGTGTGCCGAAGCAGGCGGGGGGGCGGCATGCAAACCTTGCCTTTGGGACCGTCTGTGGAACTCCATGCGGGCCACGGTCCGTGTGAGTGGTATGCCGAAGTAAGCCAGGCGACGCTATGAAGCTTCCTTCTGGTGCCGCAAATGCAATTACGTTCTGGGCGCGATACGCGTGAGGGGCGTGCCACTAATGTCGCTGGGGACGTAGGTGGAGATCCCTGTGGGGCGCGATCCCTTTGAGGGATGCGCCGGCATGAGCGGGGGGGCGCTAGGCCAAGCCTGTATCTGAGGCGTCGGTGAAGCCCCCTGAGGGTCACGATCTGTGTGACACTGTATGTCCTCCGACGCCGAACACTTTGGACTACAACCGGGTCTTGCTGAAACCGAAGCGAGCGCGAAGCGCGCGCTTGTGGTTGTCTAATAGTTACTCTCAACTCTCTCTGCTCCATTCTGCTCTGCACTCCCGGGTACGTACCCTTTGCTCTCTACAGTCCCTTCTCATTCCGACCACCGTTGCAAAAACCCGGGGATTTTGTACTCTTTCTTACATTATCCCAACTATCTTTGGTCAAATCTGCGCGCAACTCTCTGACTCCTCGACTGTTTACCATCATTGTCCTGATGCCATTGGCCCCAACCAAGACGTCTCAAACCCTGGAATCTGACGCTGCCAGGTACCCCGGAACTGGGAAGCTGGGACCCACCCAGAAACTGGCCGCCCACCCAAACCTGACGCTGCCAGGAACGCCCGAACCGAAAACCCGGAACCCGGGAACTCTTGGGAACCTGGCCGCCCACGGAAATCGGCGCCTTCTTTTAACATCCGCTAGGACCCTTCAGTGCAAGCACTGAGCGGGGAATGGGGGCGGGCTCTTTTTCGGGGCCTTCGAGCGCTCCCCAGGTGCGAGGAGGAGCGTTTGCAGGGGCGCTCGGGGGGGGGGACCAGGGACAGGAGGGTGCCCTGCACCATCCTCGATGCATCCTGGGCTTGCTTTGGCCCTCCACTTCGGGGGCGATGAGGGGAAGGGGGGGTACTCTGGAGGCCCCGCCTGGCCGACCCGTACGTCCAGGGCGCTTCCTCTGAGCTTCCGCGTCCGGGGGCCCTTCTCGGGCCCCGGCCCGGGGGGCTCGCCACAAAAACGGCCTCTCGCGACAAAAAGTGCCCAGGGGATGGTCCAGAGTTCTGGGGCCCACGCCGAGAGCAATCGGCACTCAGCCGCGCTCAGGGGGGTGGCATCGGGGAGGGGGGAAGGCTTCTTAGACGCGCCCCTGCTCCTTCGAAGGCGCGGGCCCGATCCACAGAGGCGAGGCCCGCGCCTTCTCAGAAGCAGCCTCCTTCCAAGAGGCCTTCCACCCTCCCCCTACGGCCGGGACGAGGTACAAGCTCGAGGTCGGTTCGGGGAGGGTATTCTCACCACGTTCGTGTTTGCTGGATGGGGGTCCGGCCGCCTGAGGCCCCGCCTTCCTGTGCCCTGTCTCCCTAATTAAAGCTGTTCGTAGCCCGCCTAGCTTTTAGCGGAAGAGGTCCGCTCTCGCCCCGCAGATCAAAAAGCGTCTGTTGGATGGTGTCGTGAATCCTGGGGGAGGGTACCCTCAGGTGATATCTCCTTTCTTGGGGTGTCCGGGTCGGCGCAGGGCCCCCTGCTCCCGCAGGACGCTCTCCTGTCCCAGGCCCGACCGCTGCCCCCCTTGTGCGCGCCGCCGAGGCACGGGCACGAGCCCGCCGCAGTGGCTGCACCCTCCTGGCGCGGGTGGCCTCCTCTGGCCGCAGGCTGGCCCCGCGGGGCGGCAGCAGTGGAGCGCTGCAGCGCGCCTCTCCTCGGGGCCCTCGGGCGCCCTTTGGGGGCCCGCGCGTGGGCCTCGCCCAGCTCCCCTCGTGGAGTGGGCGTGGGCGCCTTCGCGGAGGCCACCGAGCGCTTCCGAGAGAGTCCCCCTGCCACGTCTCGGAGGGTCACCCAGCTCGTCCCCACATCCGCCCGGCCGTCCCGCCCATCAGGCTCTACCGCGGGCGCCTCCTCCAGATTTGATTGGGGGAGCCCTGACACCCCCAACGTCTCGAAATAATCAAAGGCGGCGGTTTTGCATAGTTTTCGCCCTCTGGAGGCCCTCGACGGGCCCCAGCACCGTCACAAGACAAGCTAAGGTGAAAAGCTGGCCCTGGGGACAACAGGGCAGGGACTCCCATGAGCCGTCGTGTCAGAGGGGATCAGAGGGGATCGAATGCCTGGGGCGTTCAGAGCGGATGAGGGCCTGGCGCTCACGCGCACCGCCTTTCGGTTGCGGTGGCAGGGATCCGAGAGGACCACCTCGAACACCGCCGGCCACCCTCACGCAGCGGCGGAGGGGGGTCAGTGGTGCCCGTAGGCTCGAAGGGTATCGCGAGAGCCAGCAGCCCCGAGCGGCGGGTGGCGGGGCCCCCGCGCGGAGGTGCCACGGTCAGGGCTCGGGGCCCAGGTGCGGAGCGCGCCTGACCCTAGCACCGTCCGTCGACGACTGGGGCTAAGTAGACCTGCAGCGCCCACCAGACCCGCCCCTACAGGTGCAACGTGGCTCGCCTGGTCGCCTTCTGCTTCTGCTCGCTCATGGCATCAGCCCCCCGCCACCCCCCCTCCCACACAAGAAATACCCCTGTGTACCCTTCTCCCCACCCCCTCTCACGAGACGCATTGATCGTTTTCTCTTCAAGGGGGGACTGAGGCAAAGCCCAGGCTCGTGTAGAAGCGCGTCTGCTTTAGTGAACTATTCGCGCCCACAGTTGAGCAACGCAGTTCAACGGAGTCGACTGCGTAGACACTGGCGCACAGGAATGGAAGGGAGGCAGGGAGGCAGGGCGGCGGTAGGGCGGTCATCGCGTCGCCGTGGTGGCGGTCGTGGTGCTGGTGGCCGTAGTCGTTGTAATGGTTGCCGTGTCCCGTCGTGGTGGTTGTCGCGTTGGTGGTGATCGTGGTGGTCATGGTAGTGGTCGCGCCGTCGGGGTGGCGGTCGTAAAGGTGGTCGTGTCCCGTCGTATGGTGGTCGTGGTGGATGCTGTGCTGGTGGTCATGGTGGTCGTGGGTGTGGGTCGCTGGCACCGTGGCGCTTGCCCCTGGCTGGCGCGTGCGCTCAGGGGGCGGCGGCGGCTGCGGAGGGTTGCTGGCCTCGCGCCCGAGCGAGCTCAGCAGCATCTCAGCATTACACCCCTTTGGAGGGTTCTGCTGATTTTCCGCCAGGGGCCGCCCAGCGGCTCGGAGCGTTCGCCGTCGGCCAAATCCGCTCCTCAGCTGCGAACGAAGCTGGCCGCTTCTTCGCTGAGCAGGGCCCTCCGTCTCGCAGACCATGGGGACCAGCTCGCCCCCTTGCGGGCCCCTCCGCTCCCACCCTTCCCCCCCCTCCTTCGACGGGCGCCGCGCCCTCCCCACCACCCCCCGCCCCCGAGGGCGACACCCCGGTCGTCAACGCCGGGGTCAACCTGGACGGCGCGCAGGACTTGGGGGGCGCCCAAGACTCGGGCGTCTGGAGTCTGGAAAAAGCACGGGACGGTTGGCTTTTCATCCTTCAGGGTTTTCAGAGGCCGCTTTTTGGCCCAGGGACCGTCGAAGAATGGTTCGGGGTAAAACAGCAGCGTTGGGGAATTGGTCGAGAGGTTCTCGTTATCCGCATCCTAAGTGGGTTTATTGTTTTCTCGGGACAATCCCGCACCGGAACACGGGAACCGAAACAACCCCACATCATCATAATTCTCCTCCTCCTCATCCTCCTCATCATCATCATCATCATCAGCAGCATCATCATCATCAGCAGCAACAGCATCAGCATCATCATCATCATCATCATCATCAACATCAGCATCAGCAGCAGCAGCAGCATCATCATCATCATCATCATCATCACCATATTCATCATTCATCATTCATCATCATCACCATATTCATCATTCATCATTCATCATCATCAGCAGCATCATTATCATCTTGTTCATCACCATCATCACCATCCTCATCATCATCATCATTATCATCATCATCATCATCATCATCATCATCATCATCATCATCATCATCATCATCGCCATCATCATCATCAGCAGCAGCAGTACAATCACCAGCGGCATCAACATCGTCATCATCATCAGCAGCATCATCATCGTCATCGTTATCGTCATTAACATCTGCATCACCATCAGCAGCAGCACTAGTATCTTCGTCGTTGTCATCATCATCTTCCAACATCATCACCATCATCAACAGCATCATCGTCATCACCATCACCACCATCATTTCACCATCACCACCATGATCATCACCATCATCGTCATCACCGTCATCAGCTTCATCATATTTCTCTTCAGTATCATCTTCACCATCATCATCATCATCACCATCAGCATCAGCATCATCATCATCATCATCATCATCCACATCATGAACAATAACAGTATCACCATCGTCATCATCATCATCACCATCATCATCGTATTCATCATACAGGCCGCCGACCCTGAAAACGACGAAGATGAAAACGAGCGGGGGGGGGGAGGCGGAAGAGGAGGAGGAGTGGGGGGGAAGAGGAAGGGTGGAGGAGCGGATGAGGGAGGAGGAGGAGGAGGGGGGGGGAAGGATGAAGAGGAGGAGGAGAAGGAGGAGGAGGAGGAGGAGGAGGAGGAGGAGTGGGGGAGCAGCGAGAGGAATGCGGAGGAGGAGGAGGAGGAACTGGAGGAGTGGGGGAGCAGCGAGAGGAAGCGAGCAGGAGCAACCAATGCTGGAGGCCTTGGCTCTCGACGGAAATGGGAGGGAGAGGGCGGGGACAATACCTTTCCGAAAATCAATCAATATGGCGTCTCTGGGCCTTCTTGAGAGTCCATGCGGGGCTCTTTTGACCCGTCCGAGGGCCCCCTTTGTCCGTCCTGCGCATTCCACACTCCGACAGGATCGGCCGACTCATCATCATCATCATCATCATCATCATCATCATCATCATCATCATCATCATCATCATCATCATCATCATCATCATCATCATCATCATCATCATCATCATCATCACCATCAGCATCAGCATCAGCATCATCATCATCATCATCACCATCATCACCATCATCACCATCATCATCACAATCATCGCCACCAGCATCATCATCATTAGCATCAACGCCATCACCATCAACATCATCCTCATCATCATCATGACCGCCACCATCATCATCATCAGCATCAGCATCATCATCGTGGGCCCCCCGGTGCAGCGCCAAGGAGCCAACAAGGGGAGTTGCCCTGAGCGCAGTGGACGGCCGGCGAGAAGAGAAGCGACCAGGACGCCAACAACAAGCAGGATAGATACGGGGAAGCGTGCTTGGATCTAGTTCATCGCTGAAGCCGCTGCTGCGGCACCCTGCGGAGGCCGTGGGGCCCTGTCGGGAATCCAGCTGCGGCCACCCAGCGGCCCCACAGCCCCACCAGAAACGGGCGGCAACGCTACTGGCGGCGAGGACAGGGTCGATCTCAGAAACGCCAGCGAGGGCGTGAACGGCGACAGGAATGTACCGATCATGATGGAGGAACCGCTTGCGGGAAGATCAGAGGCTACCAATGCTGAGCGCAGAATATTTTTTCCAGAGCGTTGCGAATCTGGTGCCAGCGGGGAAGACGCATGTGGCGGAGTTGAGTGGAGGAGGTGGTGCGCCTCTTATGTGTGCAACCGCCTTATGCGCAGGGCGGTTTTCAACAACTTGTTCGCAGGCGGCAGCGACGCGGTGGAGAATCTACGCATGGCCACGACATGTGCGATAGCGCATGGAGGGCTGGCGGCAATGGAAGGCGCACCCTCGGACGCAGGTTCAGCGAGTTGGAGAAGCTGGATCACGTCGGGTTCATCAGGCGCTGGGGGCGCACCACCTCGAGATGGACAACCGCAGGCAGCGGTTCGAAGTCCGCGATGATTCGGCCCCCTCAGCTCGGAAACCTGCAAGCAGTCGAATGCCCCAGTCATCGAGAAGACGGTGAGCCACTGGGCCAGGCGGTGGATCATGGACAAGGGCCTCGGCGAGGAGTCCGGTCCGGAGGACGACTGGGCAAATGAGTGCGCGTCGCATGTCGCCGAGATGCCCCAAAACAGCGGGCTCGAATGCGAGAGGGCGAGGACGCGCAGGGGCGCGGGTCAATTGGCCAGAAAGATTTGCGCCAGGGCGCGGAAGCGCGGGGGGCCGCGCCGCCTGCGCTACTTGGCTCAGCAGAGGGCCCTGTCCAGCGCGCAGTGGCGCGTGGCGGGCCTCATCCACGACGTCGAGCACAGGGCGTGGAAGGGGTGGGTCAACAGCCCAGATCGCCGAGGGCAACCTCCGCCCGCGGGCCCGCCGCCTCGAAGGAAACCGCGGAGGCCTTCGGCGCGAACTTGGGCGACAAGCTCGCAGGCGTCATCACTTTTGTCCCGACGGGACCTCGGCGGCGCGCGCTGCTCGTCGAGCCAGCGGCGAAAGCTCGGCAGAGGGCGCTGGCCGCGGGGGGCCCGCAGGGGCCCTCTCTGCAGGAAGGGCGAGAGCGAGGCGAGGGCCAAGGTGGACTTGCACCGCGCAGCGGGTCCACGCCCGAAGCGCCCCAGCCCAGGCGCGGCATTCGACGCGGAGCCCCAGCGCGCGAGGGTGCACCTCGAGGCCAGCCCTGCGACGGCGACAGCATTTCAGACGGCGATGGCCGGGTCGGCCCGTCTGGCGGCGGCGAGCCAACATCGAGGAGATGATGAGCCAGCGCGCCTGGCAGGGCGCGCGCGCTGACGAGGGCAGCGGCGCCCGCGCTCAGCGCAGCCAGCGCGGGCAAAGCAGCGCTGACATGGAGGGCGAGACGCCGCGCGCCAAGCGGCCAGACCGGCGGCCGCCGCTCGAGGGGCAAGGAGGGGGCTGGAGGTCAGCGGCAGATCGAGCACGGCCAGTCGTTCGGCGGCCAGCGGCCGCGGGCGAGGCCATCCCAGCGGCGGCGGCCAGCGGGCGCGCGGCGCCCGTCGGCGCGTCCTCGGGCGCCAGAAGCGCGGCCTGCACTCCTCCGCGCTGAGGAGCCCCCCCCCGGCGGCCTGCGACCCCATGGGCAGCGCGAGCGGCGGCGACGAGAAGCGCCGCGCCCAGCGCGCGGGAGGGGCGTCGCCCCGGCGAGAGAAGACCTTCGCGGGCGGGCGACCCAGGGGCGGGGCGGCTGCCGCTGGGCCCCCGCCTCGGCGGCGGAAACCGAGCGGGGCCATCCGAACCCTGCGATTGTCGCCGCTGCGGGGCCCCCCCCCGGCTGGAACTTGGGGGAGGTCTCGAGCGGGGGCGCCGCCAGCGAGCGAGCGGCGGGGAAGTTCTGAGCGGGGGCCCTCCCCAGCATAGCCGCCGCCCCCACGTTGGAACCCGAGCGGGGCCGCCCCAGCCGCAGAACTGTCGTCGCCGCATGGGCACCGCGGCTGGGCTCTGGAGGAGGTCTGAAGCGGGCGCCTTGGCGAGCGAATGGCGGGAAGTCTCGACCCCCCCCTCCGCGGGGTGCCCGGCGCCGCGTTGGAAGCCGAGCGGGGGGCGCCCGAAACGCGCAGTCGTCGTCGACGCCGGGCGCCTCGGGCCTGGGGGGCGCCTCGAGCGGGCGCTTCCGCAGCGATTGAATGACAAGGAAGTCTCGAGCGGGGGCCCTCGCCATGGGCCCCTCAGTCCCTATTGGAATCCGAGCGGGGCCATTCGGATCATGTCGCGGTCGTCATTTTTTGAGCCAGCGCCGATCGGAAGCCCTTCCCAACGGGGCCCCCGCCTTCGCGTCGGAGTCCGGGCGGGGCCATCCGAGCCCCATCTGCGAATGCGCGGTGAGGATGTCTCGCGCGGTGGCCCCTCCCCATGGGGCCCCCAGTCTCATGCTCGAGTGCGAGCGGGGATATGTTTGGGGCACCCTGGGCTTGAATTTCGACGATGTCTCGAGCGGGGGCCTCGTCGCATCAGATGCCGCCGTCGACGGGCCCGCCGGCGCGGGCGAGGAGCTCGCTCATGTTCGCTCCTAGCGAGCAGGAAGTTACGCGGCAGAGCTCGCGGCCGCGAGCCGCGCACCGCTCAGGGTTCACCCCGACGCGCGCGTCGCGCCTCACCTCCGCGCCGCCGCGGGGTCAGACGCTGCGCAGGGGCGTCGCCATCGATTGCGCCAGGGACGAGGACGGTGGCCGCGCGGGCATGTCGGACGAGCAGCGGCGGCTGCGCCGCAACGTCATGTTCCCCCGCTCCACGTGCATTTGGAGCACTATGGCCCCGCGGCCGCCCTCGCGCAAGTTTCCGCGGCGCGGGCCGCCAGCGCCCTCGCGGAAGGCCGTTGCTGCCATCAGTGGCCCCGTCGCTGCCCTTTTTGTGGCCTCGCATTATATTCCTTTCGTGGCCCCCGCTATCACGCGCCCGTCGTGGCCCCATACGCATGCCCTTCGTAGCCCCGCCGTCGCCCTTCGTGGCCCCCTCGGCGCCCTTCGTGGCCCCTTTGCTGTCCTCAGCGGCCC